CAGCTTCTCTGCAGGGGTCAGAACCTCCTCCCCATGAATATCATAAGGTGCTCTGAGTGCTTCTTCACCTGCGAATGATGTTTTCCCCTGCAGAGTCACTTCCCATAGGCTGCAGGCTGCTATTGAATTTCTGTAGTAATATTTTAATTTAATAACTTAATTTAAGATTTAATGGCTTTCTTTATTGTGCTTTGTAGTATAATTAATTCATGTGATGGGAACTCATTAAACTTGGGGATCTGAGCTGCATCTGGGCACGCAAGACCTGTAAACACATAAGCTTGGGTTAAAGCCTATTGGAAGTGGGCAAAGGCGGAGCTCGGCATGGAAAGAACAGACAGTTTTATTCTCAGGGATAATCAGAAACTAGTTTCTTAATAGCTGATAACATCTTTTAATTGTTATCTGTAGTTTACAACAATATTGGTAGTACCAACAAAAATCTTTCTGCCGACATTTAAGGCTGGAGGTTCCTTGAATTCCTGGGGCTAGGACCATCTGGCCTGGCACCTCCAAACGCGCATGTGTGTGCATGCCGAGGAAGTATAGGCACTTCTGCCTCTTGAAAACTCAAGCGCAAACTGATAATCACAGAATCACAGAATGGTTGAGGTTGGAAGGGACCTCTGGAGATCTTCTAGTCCAACCTCCCTGCTCAAGCAGGGTCCTCTAGAGCATATTCCCCATAATGCAGATACTCTGAACAGTCCCCCTGCCTCTTAATCCCTTTGGTTTACTTGGAGCTGTGGTGCTATGCATATCACACGGTAGAGATAGGGCACTTACCTGTTACTATCACTGAAATCCCTGGTCTGCTGGGAGAGCGTACACTCAGTCCCCTACACCTCCGGGGAAAGTTGTTACCACAAGACTGCTGGCTACCTGAGGGTGGAATTTTCTTATTCTCTGGTGGTAGTGCTCTTCTGCTTCAGTATGATGAGTTAAATATTCACTGAACCAGAGAAGAAAGATAAATGGCTCTGGCCCCATAACTTACTGGTTAGTGCGCTTGCTCAAGATCTATGTTGAAGACCATGTTCTGGATTAGGCAGAGCAGAGGTTTGAAACCGCTTTCCGGGTGAACACTTGACCTATCCATTTATCTGCTGGTCCGGGTGTGAGTCTCTCATTTCTTCAGTTCACAGTGAAAGCTGAGGAGTCCAACTCCACGAAACAGATTGTAACCTGGCATATCTCCATGGCTAAGCATACACACCAGCCTGTCACACAGCTGTACATTTCACTCTGCTGCAAATCCCTTTCATAGGTGCATTGTTCTTCAGATGAGTTGTGGAGGAGAAACACCTAAACAAAATCAAAGATGTTGCCATACAGTATTACCTTCAGGTATAAGGATATGCTTCCCGCTGTGTACGCTGTGCTGTGGTTCCCAGTAGACCACCATTTCATATTGGCCATGCCCATCAGCTGTAGTGGAAGCGTTAGAGAAGAGTATTGCCAGCTGCTTTCTGTGGGAGCTGGATGAGTTATGTATGAAGGCCTATTCTTCTCTATGGACACTATTTGCATAAGCACTGCACACATTTCTCTACCTATATGATGTTAGGGCACCTTGGGCCTAATAGAAGCACATCTTGCTCTGTCCAATTTCTGTGGTGAGCTAGGTACACTTGTGTACCTATTTCACTCAGTTAATCCTTTTCCAGGGCTGCAAATCATCTATTTCATGGTCCAGAACATCCTCATTCCGTTTCCCCTGCCCTCTGGTGACTGATTTGATTAATACTATGCAAACACCTTGAGACTTTATTGCACTAACTACTGTACAGACATAGAAAGAGCAATGCTTATCCTAGAATGCTTGTACTGAACAGGACAAGATGGATGAAAACCAGGAGCAATGAAAAAGTGGAGAGATCACAGAAAAGTCTGGGCAGCCTCAGTTATCTCAGTTCTTAACAATCCCAGTTAATTTCAGTTGATGGTCTAATACCAAGAATTTGAACCAAGCAACAAATTCAGGTTCCAACACTGGGACTGAGCACAGTCCCTAATAACCTATAGCTACCCACTAAGACAAATGAGTCTTATTGGCTGTTTGATATTGACTTCTAACAAGCTCCAGCAGGGCAACGTTGTAGTGGGTGTTTGCTACAGACTGCCTGTTCAGGAAGAAAAAGCAGATGAAGCCTTCTTCAGACAACTGGATGAAGCCCCTCTTTCACAGACCCTGGTCCTCATGGGGGACTTGAATCACCCCCATTTTTCCTGGAGGGACAAGCACAGTGGGGCACAAGCAATCCAGGAGGTTTCTGGAATACTTTGACAACAACTTCTAAACATAGGTGGTCGGGGAGCCAACGAGGAGAGGCTCTGCTGGACCTAACACTTACAAAACAGAAAGAACTGTCAGGGATGTAAAGGTCAGGGCCATCCTTGGCTGCAGTGACCATGAGATGGTGCAATTCAGGATCCTGAGAGGAGGGACCACGGCAGATAAAAAGAATCATAATCCTAGACCGCAGAAGAGCAGACTTTGGCCTGTTCAGTGACCTCCCTGGAAGAGTCCCACAGGATATGGCCCTGGATAGAAGAGAGGTCAAGAAGCGTTAGTTGATTTTCAAGGATCCCCTCCTCCAAGCTCAAAACAGTCCATCTCCACATGTAGGAAGTTAAGCAAAGATGGCAGGAGGCATACATGGGTGAACAAGGAGCTCCTGACAAAACTCAAACACAAAAAGGAAGCATTTAAGAGATGGAAGGCTCAGGGGAGATCTTACCGATATGCATAAATACCTGATGGGAGAAATTAAAGAAGGTGGAGCCAAACTCCTTTTAGTGGGATTCAGTGAAAGGACACGAGACAATGGGTGCAAACTGAAACACAGGAAATTCCATTTAAACATAAGGATAAACTGTTTTGCTGTAAAGGTGGTCAAACATGGGAATAGGTTGTTCAGAGAGGTTGTGTAGCCTCCATCCTTGGAAATATTCAAAACCTGACTGGATGTGGCCCTGAGCAACCTGCTCTATTTGACCGTGCTTTGAGCAAGGAGGGTTAGACTAGATGATCTCCAGAGGTCTCTTCCAACCGTAAGGATTTTCTGTGATTCTGTAAGGAACCCCTCCCCCCCATCCCTCCTTTCTAGTGCTCAGGCATCTTGCTGTAGGTCAACAAGAACTGCTTTCAGCCACAGTGCAGAACTCTTGGGAAGAAAGTACAAGGCAACTGCTTGCAAATTAAAAGTCAGGTCACTTTCTTTTATAAAGACAACACAAAGAGGTCATAGTGGTGGGCAGCAACCCTCCTTTATACAATATCCTAGGGATCTGAGCACAGTTTCAGGATGGGGGAAGACTGAAATTCAGTTTCCTGTTCTGCCCTGAGGACAGGGAGATGCAGCCTTCCCATCTATCACTTACAGCCTTTTGTGGGGTGAGGGCTTTCACTCCTGCTCTTGCTGAAAGTGATCCACAGTGCAGAAAAAAGAGAACTGAAGAGAAAACCTCACTGCAAAACTCCCATCGTTCAGAGCACTCAGCTAGGAGGGATAGGGACTTCATCGCAGTCCATACCCCTGTGAATATATCTTGCATAAACTTATTTCTGATTTGAGAGTGAAGTTGCGAAGTAAGAAATGCAGGTGCTACTTTTAAGAAGCTCCTCCATTATCTGAGGTCTAATATGTTCCGGGAGTGGCCACTGGGGTCTGACGCAGGATCCTGCTTGCTGGATCCCCCCTCCCCGAGCATGGGACATGAGCTGCTTTGCTTTGTGTACTTAGAGAAACTTTTGGATGTGTGGAAGGCATAGAGCTACAAGAATCTGGAAACACGATCTAAAAAAAAAAAAAAAAACCAGTGCTTCAGAGTTTAGGGGTCTCCAGTGTTAGATGGCAGCTCAGCAGGGGTTTTGGGATATTGATTCAGACACCTGACTCCCATTTTAGGTCCATCATGTTCCTTTTCAGATCTAAAATCAGGCACCTGAAAACTCAGGCACTTTTGCAGTCACGTAGAGCACAGCCTGGTGCCTCATGCATCGTGTTTAGAAGCACATACAAAGTCTCTGCCAAAGCTAGGAACTAAATGCTGTCCTGGAATCCCACCCAAGGTCCTGAACCTTAAAAGCTACTGTCTCCGTTGTAAGGGTCTGTCTTACTCTTTGTAATACCCATAAGACGGCTTTCAAGGATGGCTTCAACCACAGAAGAGCTAAGATCTCTGCTAAACTTTCAGCAGAAGTGTAACTTGTTACAGCTACATTTCCTCAGGGTGGCTTTGCTCAAAGTGTTCTCGCTTGAACTCTCTCATTGCTTTTGTGTGAGATACTACAGCTCTTTCTGGTCAGGATCTCAGGAACAAGCAGAGTTTGTCATATCGCTGTTTTTGCAGTTGTGGATGTGCATCCTGTGGAAGGCCTCGACAAATTAAGAACTGTTACGCTACAGATATAACATCTTACTATGATGAATGACCTTCATAACCTTCAGCAAGAAACTTCTCTGCGCCTGGTATGAATGCTCAGTAGCGGGGAGAACATCGGTCTCATAGCATCCCTGGAGCTTCTGTGACACAAAACATCACACAAACCGAACAGTTGTACAGATTTTTCCAAAAACTTCCTGTGAGTTCCCATGCTCTCTCGTTTCTCCTTCTCACAGACAGTACATCTGTTCCTTTAGCAGTTGCTGGCAGACAAGACAAGCCTGGGTGCCAGCTAATACTATATGATCTTCTGCTGAATTCATTTTCCACTTTTAAAATTAAATTATGGGCCAGATCCTCATCAGATTTAATACAGCTATTGCCTATTAACCAGCTGATGGTCTCATCTTGTACAGAGATATTTTTCCTCTCCCTTTGGAGCAAGAAAATAACCAAAGAGTTAGATTTTTATCTGACATGTAAAGTCAGTGAAAACATTGATTGTTTTTGCCTGCTGCATCCATCATGACAGAAATTACTACAGTTTTCCAAGCAAGCTAGGGAAAAATACACCATTCAAAAAGAAAAAAAACAAACAAAAAAACAAAGAGTGTAAAAGATACTATAAATCTTTTATTTCTTTTTAGCTACTATGCAAGGCCCTTCATTTTGAAGGAAATGGTACAATCAATGATCTGTACTTCTTTCTCAGGAAAAGAAGAGATATTTGCACTAACAATTCAACATTTACTGACAAAAGACAGCTTACAGAAAAGGCTCATGGAAAAATAAAAAATCATTACTTTGTGATTACACTTGTCATTGTGAATGACTCCATGAATTGTTACAATACCAGAGACTTTGTGTATTTAAAGAAAGCTTCTAATTCAATATTAATGCAAAAGAACCATCTTAACCACTGATGTTTGAAGTTACCCTGATTTCTTCTTATTCACAGTCAGGAAAAAAAAGTCCGATTTGAAAAGTCTAAGCCCATTACACAATACACCTGGCGTTATCACTGCACATTAATTTATAAAGGTGGCCAAGTCAACGCATATACTCAAATAACAATAGCTTTCTTACAAGTAGAAACCGCTGGTGGAAACAATGCATTTCCTACCTCTACTTAGTTACTCATCTCTGATCTGTCATAAAAAATTAAAATTTTGCTTTCAAAAAATATTTCTTCCTACATGGCTGTTATAATTATGGTTGGTACTGTTAGTTGTCAGGAAAGCATGGGCGGTAAATCACTTGACAAAAAGTCTCATACACCCAAGGACAGACCTTTGGCAAGACCTAACCAAAGGGAAAAAAGAAAAAGAAAACCACTATTACATTCAAAATATGAAATATATTCATCCCACAATACTACCTATTTTAGTACTGAAAATAGGATATTGAACTTATATTAAAAAAAAATTAGGAAGTTTAACTGGAGTTTCATTAATATAAAATAACTGAAACTTTACCCTCAAAGTCTAGAATCCTTGATTCTACAGAAAATATTTTTTCTAAGTAAGAAAACACAGTTTTTCAATTAGCTTTTGGTTTTTTTTCCTGTTCACCTTGCAACTGGCTGCTACATTGGTCCACTGAGCTCTAGAGAGTTGCTATAATCAGTACTTTGCATTCACACGGAAGCAGGGATAACTTGAAATAGTCCTCAGTTTATGTCCTTTTTCCCTGCCATGGAAGGTGAATGTCTAAATTGTGTTTTTAAAACTACTCAATCAAGGGATAATTCTAGGTTTTACTATAAAGCTTTTTCCAATACATTATTTGCATCAAACACACCAGTCCTCTTAGGAAATAAAACTGCTCATCTACATTTCCTAGCTGGATCTACATTTACACATCTGGGGCTTAGCCTTGCCAGCCTTAACATGTGCATAATGATATTCACAGCAGCCTTCTTATCAGTAGATATGCCCAGATGAGTAAATTCATACAGATGATAGTGTTTGCACAATCAAGGATCTTAAAAAAAAAAAAAATACTATTAACTTTAAATATTTAAAATGCAAGGCAAAGTTCAAGCATGACAAGACAGACAAAGATATCAGAAAATAGTCTGCAGCAAGATCATTATCTTCGTTTACAGCTACCGTATAATACACCTCTCTAGCCTTCTGCTGAATCAATGCTATCCCTGGATTTCGAAGGGGAAACTCAGGCCAAAGTTTGGGCCGGATTCCATAAGCCTTGTTTGGTCAAGAGGCCCTTTTAGAAGCAGCTTTCACAGAGCTGTTTGTTCTCCCTACGTGATTATGCAGTGTCAAATCCTCCACACTCCCACTGGAGACCCGAGACTGAAATTCCAGGCCCTTATTCAGAACGAAAGGTAAATCTTCAAGCACATGAATAGTCTTAGTGATTGTCAAGCATCTCGAAGCAGGATCTATTCATAACTTCAGATTTCGGTACAGGCTTAGGACCTTCACTGAACTAGAAGTTCTACAGGAGGGTCACACCTGAATTTCTATATGTTAAAAAATAAGCTGTAGAGAAGAGCACTTTTGTCTATTCTTCTCTTGTTTTTTTTTTTTTTTTGGTTAAAGGTCTTGAAATAAGACATATACACAAAAAAGCCTGTTAGGAGATTTCTCTTTAAAAATCAAGCTCTAGAAATCCTAATCTAGTCTGCAGACAATAACCAAATAAAGTAGAGCAAAGACAGAAAACTAAGCCATTGTGATGTGCTTCTACAGCAAGCCGTGTTCACTCATCCAGCTCAGTACAGGTCCATAGCTTTAAAACCAGACTGCTTAGAAATGTGTACAGTGCTGTTTAAGAGCACCTATTAAATAACACTGCCTAATCAACAGGTAAGGAAAAAGGACCCACCCATGAAAGATTCAACAGTTGCATCTTGAGCTGTTGGGATGAGGAACCACTCTATGAAGTAGTCTTCTACTAGACCAAGTTAAAAAAACAACACCACCACCACCCTCCAGGCTTCGTCCCTCCACCCATCGTTTTTGCATAAAATGGAATGGCAGGAGACAGCATAAATCCCCAAACATAATTGGCAGAAATTTGAGTACTCCAAACATATGCATGTGTTTTAAATAAATACTACACACCCATGTCCTGGGTGCTGAAGAAATATATAGGTTTCATACCACAGTACATGGCCTCCCAAACTGCTTTGCTCTTGGGCAAGCTCCCCCCCCACTCTCAGTCCTAGCGAGGCAGTGCAAGCTCCGAGATTCTTTGCTAAGGCCCACATGGGAATTTATCCCAAGCAGCATGACCGGTACAGAGAAGCACTAAGATCAGCACAAGACACGATTTCATTTAGTCAAAGAAGCTTTGCTCTGCATTCTCAAGCAGATTTGGTCTCTTTTATTAAAAAAATAAAATAAAAACACAGAAAACAAAGCCAGACTATGCAGGATATCTCAGATGCAGAGAAATGTCTAAGTGTCATAGTTCTGATGTTTCAGACACAAGGGAAAAATATTTTCATAACTAGTTTACTGTTTAGTACCCTGTAGATACATATTATTTGACAACTATAACAGCTTCTATACTTTATGACCTAGAATATACTTTAGATCACTAATGAAAAATAAATCCATTCAGAGGACTGCAAAATAACACGTATAACAACTCACTTTCAAACGCAAGATGCAAGGTTCTTATGATGGAATAATTTTTTTAATCTTTCAAAAATATCTGTAAGAAAATATTATTTTACATACATATATTACACAGTGAAATAAACTTTGCTATGTACAAGGTTTCAGTACTAAAGAAACAACAGCCAGACATTTACTCGTTCTCTAGATAATCTCAGTTCTGTTTCCTACCAGTTAGTACAAAAGAGACCCTCCTTCGTCCTTTTTAGGACTATTTCAGAGATCATTTCAGCTTGGAGTGGTTACTGGTTGTTGCACAAAACCTGTGTGCAGACACCCACATATTAACCCTACCACAGTTCAGACATGGATAGTTATCATGCTTTTAAAGCAAGGTTGCACATCCGTCTGACAACCACGGTAACTTGAGTACAGCTCAACTGCATATTGAAGAAAAATGTCATTAGTACAGACACCTGAGCTATAGCATTCTAAGGGGGTTTGGTGTTAAATTCTCCTTTGGAGCTGGGCATTGTAAAGCCCAAAAATTAGAGCACGGGAATCATTAAAGGAATAGGATCTAGCGCATTCTGCATAACCCTAAAAGCTGCTGGTTTTTCCTCCTGAAGTGAGTATGAAGTGGTCTTTCACAGCACAGAAGCTTTTTTTCTAGATTGTGTATTTTAGGCAGAAAACTCAACAATACAAAGCTATTTAGACCATGTTATCCTTTTATATTCAGGGAAGTTGCTTCATATAGTCTTAACTAACCAAAGCCAGTATGTACTTACTGAATGACAAACTTTGCTCTCATCTCAGAGGACGAAAGGACGTGGAGTACTTTGCTATTTGCAGTATAACTGTAAACAGCTGCAGGGAAGACTATTTGTTATGCCCCAAGTTTACATCACTCCGTTAATTTTATGATTTAAATGAACTCGAGCTTATTTTCAAGTTCACATCACCACTGTTGTGTTTAGGAATTTCACATTAGAAACTGCCTCCGAATCAATGTTTGCTCACACGCTTAAGATCCCCAGACAAAGATCCATTAGTACTGTGTGTGTGGGAAACCAGTTCAACAGACGCACGGTTGGGAACAAGTTCAGGGAATATTCGAGGCAGGTAGCCCCTTACCCCCCCCCCCCCCACCTCCCCAGCTTAACAAAGGGCTCGCACAACAACTCTTAAGGCATTTCCTCACCAATGCTATAGCTCAGCTGTGTACTGTGAAGACTTAACAAAAAAAAAGGGAAACGTGAAATTCTTGATGAAAGTTGTTTGTGGTAAGGAAGGAAAAGAGGAACACCCAGACTCTGCCTGTGTTGCCCTTCCATCCTGTGCTCCATCCCAGCATTTGCTATCGCAGCCTTGTTTGTTGTAGTGCAGAACCTGTGAAGTGCTCGTGGCCAGGGGCACCCAGCCCACCCTCCTGAGTAGCAGCTTGCTCGGACATCCTAACGCACGTGAACAACCTGCTTCCGCCACCTCAATGTATGCCACTGATGTTTTTGCGAGTTTTGTCACTTGCTTTAAGGGAAGCCAGGCAGCCCATGATGAGTGTTGGCATAGCTCAGCATTTCCCTACTATGAGTCCGACCACATACCAGTGCACAGATTTCATGATCAAGATTGCAAGCTCTCTCCTCCTTGGGATTGTTCAGCAATGAACACAGCCTCTGCTCTCGAAGGAAGCGACACTGATAACAGAAGAGGCACTCCCCCTACCCACAAGTTTCTTTAAGGCGGCACTGGGCACATCAAAACCATTTCACTAAAAATCAGTGGGGATTTCTCCCATACGTCTTTTGAGGGGGCTGGCTGAGAAGCCACAGAAGCCTTGCACCTGCAGATGTAAGCAAACAGTTTGCTGCAATACCAACAGGAGCCACAGCTGAAGAGAAACAGGGGCACAGAAAGGAAAACAAAATCCTCATGCTTCTTTGCTACCCCAGCTAATCAGGCACTCAGAGCTAGGTGGCCATATCCTGAAAGTTGTTGGCTCCTTAATAGTATTAAATACCCCTAACTTCTGCTGATAAGTGGATGTCAAAGGCATTTAGCATCTTGTAGGGTCAGGCCTACTGGCAGATGGTTGAGGGAAAGGCTATGCGCTTAGACGGCAGAGAGGAAGGGGAAGAGGAGGGAGTGGTGAAGGGGTAGGATGGCCCTGAGTTTTATCCTCTGCAAATAAGTCAGTGCTCCATCAAGCACTGAAGGAGTTAAGCACTAAATCACAGACACTTAATCAGCTTTCCCCCTTCCTTTCACATGTGATTGGAATGAAGCTGCACTGAAGCAGCCCAAAGGGTTTATAACAGCTCAATTTCGCAGCCTTCAGTTTTAATCCCCATCACCCAGCCTAAGCAGCATGGTGGTGCTGAGGCTGCTACTCCATAGCAGTCTGAGCACCTGGATGATGATCTTCCTCCTCCTCTTCTTCCTCCTCCTCTGCAGCCTGCAGGTGGCTGGAGAGCTCCTGGATCACAGCAGCCCTACCAATCTGGTCATTTCTCCTCTTCTCCATGATCAGATCCTCTAGGCTCTGAAACTCCAGCGTGTGGCTGCGCTTGTCACCCAGCCGGATCTGCAATCGGTAGGGCTGCTTGCCTATGCGCAGCTCCCCGCCGATTTTAAACTCCCGCTTGCCATACCGGCACCAGGCAGCAAAACACTCCGAGTTTCTCCAGCTCAAGTCCCGGTCCTTGCAGCCCACCTGCTCCAGGGCGTTGCGCACCACAGCGGCCGGGCTCAGCGGTTTGTAACGGTACAGCCAGTTGGCAATGCGGCCCCGTCTACCCTGGCTTGCGTCAGTCAGGAAGCTGTTCACCACCTCCAGCCTGTGCAGGTGCACGACTTGAAAATCCCCGACGTAGACCACCCAGTGCGGATACTGGGCCTGGCACACAAACTCCACCAAGTCACCCGGTTTGCACCTATTCAGCAGGTTCTCCGGTGTATATGTGCTCAGGTGCCCCCCACCTCCTTCACCACCCTCCTCTGGCAGCGTATCCTCCTCAGAAAAGCTCTTCTGGTAGATGCACTCATCCCGGTAATAGACTGAGCACTCCACCTCATGCAGCTGGGGATCATAGGGCTGCAAGGCAGGGTGCTCACCTCCCAGATCATGCACTGAATCCTGTTGCTGCTCCAGCTCATCATCATCATTCGAGAAGATGTAGGACACCCCGATCCTGGGCCCCTCATCTCTGTCCATACCTGTCGGGTCAGCCGTGGGAACTTCCTTGTAGTTCAGATGCGTCAGCTTCTCCACCTGGTTCCCCATGCCCACTGCAACAACAAGCAAACAATGGGTCCGTGAAGGCAGGAGAGGCAGCAGAGGGATGGCAGGGCATGGACCCAACCAGCACCCCACCCCTGCGGGCCACAGCACAGCTTTTGGGGGGGGGGGGGCAAGCAGGTGGAAGAGTACCATGGGCAGGGCCAAAAAGGCAGTCAGAGCCCAAGGCAGTGACCCGAGGGGGCTGCAGAGGAGAGGAAGGAGACCCTCACCCTCCTACCGACCCGGGGGAAGGGGTGCTGGGGAGGAAGGCAAGGCCGCACGGCCACCTGTTAGTGTTAGCCGGCAGGGAGGAGGAAGAAGGAGGAAGGTGCGGGAGCAGGCGGCGGAGTGAGGAAGCACCGTGCCTAACCCGTCAGCGGGGGCCGCAGAGGGCCAGGGGGGCCGCAGCCCCCTCTTCTCCTGCCCGGGTCTCAGGGTCCAAGCGGGGGGCGGGGGG